TGCAATTGTACCGTAAGAGGAACGTAGGCTCTGGGTACAAGATTGATGCAGAACTAAACTCATACTACAAAAACTTGGCGCAAGGTTTTAGTTCAATATTTTTCTCCTTCAGACCAAACTTCATGCGCTGGACTTAAGAAAAGCGGAATTAGCAAGAGTGGCGTGTACGAAATTGCCCCAATCCCAGGCTACACAATCCAAGTCTTCTGTGATCAAGTAACAGACGGGGGAGGCTGGGCCGTGATACAAAAAAGACTTGATGGATTGGTGGATTTCTTTCGTGGATGGGACGATTACAAGCGAGGTTTTGGGAACAAGAGTGGAGAATACTGGCTTGGACTCGATGCCATGCATATCTTGACCAACAGTACAGAGAATGAGATCAGAATTGACCTGGAAGACTTCAATATGAAAAAAACCTATGCGATGTATAAGTCGTTCAAAGTTGGCACAGAATCCCAAAAATATGAATTGTTCCTTGGATCCTTTAAAGAAGGTAGTTATAATATCTTATATCTCAGGAATAAGAAAATATGTGTTGGAAAAATGGAAGCGAGAAAGGAAGAAAAGGAAGATGAATAAATGGAAAGTGATGGATGGATGGATTGATTGATAAATTAATGAATAAATAGATGCGTCAATAAATTAATGAAGGAATGAACAGATGAACGAACGAACGATGGATAGAAGGATGGATAAACCGATTGGTTGGTTAATAGATAAATTGATAAGTTTTTTGATGGATAAAAGAGGGAAATATTTTCATATTCCATTTCGTCATAGGAAATGCTGGTAACTCATTGGGCTATCACAAGAAGGCTGCATTCTCCACATTTGATCGAGACAACGACAACTACTTTACTAGCTGTGCCAACAAGTATAAGGGCGCTTGGTGGTTTAAGGGTTGTCACACGGTAAGTAGATAAAAGTATCATTTCAGTTATTCGACAATGAAATCTTACTAATATAATTTAGTGTGAAATAAGCTCCTTGATGTTTTAATTCTAAGGGTTAACTTACAAATCGAACACTGAAATATCCTCTGGGCTGATCTAAGTCAGGGCACGGCTAACTAACAAATCGAACACTGAAATAGCCTCTGGGCTGATTTAAGTCAGAGCAGGGCTAACTCACAGATAGAACCCTGAAACAACCTCTGGGCTAATCTAAGTCAGGGCATGACTAACTCACAGATTGAACCCTGAAACAGCCTAAGCTCTGGGCTGATCTAAGTCAGTGCATGGCTAACTAACAAATCGAACACTGAAACAACCTCTGGGCTGATCTAAGTCAGGGCATGGCTAACTAACAAATTGAACACTGAAATAACCTCTGTGCTGATCTAAGTCAGGGCATGCCTAACTCACAGATCGAACATTGAAACAACCTCTGGGCTGATCTAAGTCAAGAGGAATGCCATTTTAGATTTTATTTTATTTTATTTTTTTCATTTCTATTCTAGTCTCATCTCAACGGCGAATACCTCGGTCATATAGTTCCATACTCTCGAGGCATAAACTGGTTATCAGTAACTGGATCTTACAGATCTCTCAAAAACGCGCAAATGAAGATTCGACCGGTCGGTTTTAAGGGTTAGCCTCATGCTGCTGCTGCCTCTGTTAATTCTAATTCTGTTACTTCTACGACAACAGCAACAAAAACAACAACATTAACAGCTACAACAAAACACCAAAGAAGCAACAGCAACGACAACAGCAACAGTTGCAGTAACCACGTTAACCGCAGCAACAACAACAATATCAACTAAAACATCAACGACAATTAGGGTTAGCATGTATAGAACAATAGTTATTCAAATTGTTAGCAGTCTAGTCAAAACATCATTTTTTGGAAAAAAAACATGACGACTAAACGGTCCAACCAAGGCAATTTCGTCGCGAAAGAATTTTTTTCTATTCCGCGCTGGTATTTGGAAAAAAGATAATCAATGGGTTAAATAATCTTCCCCAAGAGGGTCAAAAGACAAACATAAGGCGGCCATTGTGGTGCCTTTAACAATGGATGCTTATGAGAAATATTTTGTTAATTGGCACCAACATGGCCGCTAAGATGTACTGTACCATCAAAGAATTGTCATGCTACGTTGTTGATGAGTTTTACGAATTTGAACTCTTGGTATTATCAAAAAAATCAACACCTTTCATTGTAGTGTGTTTGGTACTCGTCGTTTAGAAGTCACATATTATTATATTTAAGAGATTTTGCTTTGGGAGGGAGGGGGGGGGGGAAGGAATTCGTATTCAGAACCTGGATTGATGGAACTTATCACGTGACTACATAAATGTTTAGTCCTGACAGCGTGAGGATGGAGAGCCCTTGTTCCATTCCTTGGCTTCAAACAAATGTTTCAACTCAAGGCATTTGGGTCAATATAATAAAATGAATATGAATGAATGAGTGTAAATAATAAATCCAATAGCTGCTATAGATTCCTTACATATGATGTGAAAGCAATTTGACAAAAAAAAAAAAAGAAAAAAATCCAATCCCCCGAGAATTGGGACCTTTTGTTTTGTCCTCCAGATTGAGCTGCATTCGGACGTGCTGGCAAGTGGTCTATCAACGCTTCCATAATTAGACTTGGAAAAGGGACCCCACTGTACTAAAACTACGCGGGCTCACATCAGCCGAGATAACCATAGGAGCTAGTAAAACAAAAGCTACAAAAATTATTTAATGGTTTTATGGCATGTCATTGACTTTGCAGTGTAGAGTACAAAAAACAAATGTTAACGTTGGATTTTATTAAACATAATAAACAGCTGATCGATATATAATATATTTATAAAAGAATAACCTAAAAAATACTTATTATTATAAATTATCGGATACACTTTATTGAAATTTGGAAGTTTAGTTGACTTGTGTTTTTTGTTTCTAATTCTCCCAAGTTCACGGTGTTGATGTTTTTAGTATTATACTTTTATTGTTTTTAATAAGAATTCCCGTTATCTTTTAGCTAGAAAGTCAATTCTGATTGGCCAAAGAATTATAAAACATTCCTGAAGTTTCTAGGTGCCCGCGGTTTTTGGATTCGCAGTGTAATCTTCGCCCCTCGTCTCTGTAATCATTTTAGTGTTTAATTGTTTATTCATCATCACTATAGGGATGATTCAAAAGAACAATATAGACCATCATGCCAATAAGAGAATAACAAATTACGCCTGTTATGCAAGCAGCAATGGTCCACCCACGCGCTCCTGAAGAACTGGATTGTGCTTTAATAAAGTCTCCACTTTCGTATGCCGAGTCAACCTGTCAATAATAATAATAATAATAATAATAATAATAATAATAATAATAAT